GGTCACCAGAGCCCCACCACGGACAGCCACAGTCGCCTTTCCAGAGTTGGCTTCCCGGCCCTCTGGATAAAAAAGGGTGGCTTGACTCAGGATCCTGCGCACCCAGAGGCTTTACTTAGCATTTGATTTTGGACGTTTTGAGCTCCTTCACCTGTGAGTGTAGCGTCTTGTGGACAGCGAGAGTCCTGGACTGGCAAAATCCTTTCCCGCATTCTTGACACTTGAAGGGCTTTTCTTTGGAGTGAATATATCTGCAGGCAGAAATAGAATGTTAAGCCTTGCAAAATGATGCAAACTTACAAACAGTTGCCCAGGATCCCCTCCCACTGCGAAGAGGCGCCTGCCTGGGGGTGGTGGTGTGTGTCCTGAGGGTGAGAGGACGGTGCACTGCTGTTTGTAAACGGAGTTAGGGAGGGGAGGAGCAACTAGGGCAACGTCTTGACAAGCTTCTGAGGAGCTGTAGCAGCAGGTCTAAAACGAAGGTCGTTCAAAATGAGTAAGGGTCTGCAATCAGTTTGCTACAAACTATGACGCCCAGGACAGTAGATAGTACCCATCTGTGGGTCTTAAAATAGAAACTAATTACGATTAAAGCATGTTAAAAATCCAGTTTCTTAGTCTCACTAACCACATTTAATGTGCTCACAGGTCACATTACACAACCTTGCAGCAACTCCTTTTAGCGATATATGGATTGGATATGGATCGAGGAAGGGATGAGGAAGCGAACTGCCTATGGAATTTAAGGAAATCTAACCTAGTCTTAGGTCCTTTTCAACCCGTCTATCTCCAAAACTTGTATGTTTTTCATCATGATATTTGCAAAACTCAGGAGGCGTGGAGCCGGCAGGGGTCTCAGAAGCCTTCTCATTACAAAGAAAAACGTGGAGGCCAGAAACAAGCCAGCCTCTTTCTGGGGCCACCCGCAGTAACACACCTGTGATCCCGCAGGTGGTCTTGTCTCCGGAAGGCTTTGTGACAGATGTCACAGGTGTAGGGCCGCTCATCAGTGTGCGTCCGCTCATGAATGAGTAGGTTGTAGGACTTGGTGAAGTGGCGGCCACAGAACTTGCAGACAAACTCCTTCTTGGTCTTGGAAGGCAGGCGTCCTCTCGTGGGTTTCTTTTCTGGAGACAACTTGGTGACGTCCAGGAGGGCGCCTAGCCCACCTGCGGGGGATCCCGGGACCTCCCCCCTGCCAAGCTTGGACGGATCTTCTTGCGTTGCCGCCAAGGCAAGGTTGGCGAAATCAAAGCGCGGTTTGGTCTTAAGTACCGCAGGGCCCCCGCCTCCAGCAGTGATCTCAGGCTTGGGATGAATGACATGAGGGAACCAGGGGAAGGCAGGCAGCTGGAAGCGTGCATCCACCAGGCTGGATACAGCGCCTGGCACTTTGGAGAAAGATGAGCGTGGCAAGTGCATGGCTGGGTAGCCCAATGTCCACTGGTGCAGGTGCACAGCGTGCAGGGCACTGAAACCGTACAAGTTAGGCAGGTGGTCCGAGGGCACTGTGGGCAGGCCATTGACTGCCTGAAGGAAGGAATAGTTGGTGAGCTGCAGGGATGGGTGGATGGGCACTGGTGCTGGCAATGTTTTGCTGCCCATTGCAGAGGGTTTTCACAATCTTGGTCTAGAAACAAAACAGGGAGGTGGGGAGAGAGGAAAAGAGAAGTTCAGAGTAGGTCGCCTTCCTTCTAAATTCCAGCCCAACCACACCCTCTTCCGCTCCCAAGGCCACCGAAAGTGGAAATCTACCCTCTCACAAAAGAAACACACCTGTCCTCAGAGAAAGTGGGAGTGGAAGATTCAGGGAAGCCCTGTTTTTAGGATTCTCCTACTGCTTCTCTGGTCTGAGGATTTCTTCCCTCTGGCAAAACCCAAAACACTACATCCAGAAATCAGGACGAAACAAAATCCTATGCAAGGCAACTTGAAATGTACAAAACAGCAAGAAAGGTGTAAGCATTCAGAAACTTGGGTATGTAAAAATTCACATCTACACACGCTGGGCCAAAACTGAAATGTGCTCTCCTCCAAAGATAAATAGAAACTTGGAAGCACACTTTTGCATTCATGAGGAGATCAACAAACACACACTGACAGCTAAACATAGATTCACACATTTGGAAGCAGAGTTGACAACAAGGTGCAGATAGAAACTAGGATAGTTACTGTTTCGTAGCACAATGTTGGCTATAAAACATACACAAGACCCAGCACAGACAGAAGATTACATCCACGGATGAACACAATCTGGGACATACAGCACACCGATAAATAAATTCCCATAAATAATCACAACCCCTGGCTCCAGGACATCAAGTCCTTCTGGCTGATCTTCCATCTGGTTTCCAGAAGCCATATCATATTTCTCTTCAAAACTCTGACTTCAAATTTGCTTTTCTCCCTATTCATTAATGGCCTTGTTGACACCACTCTCCCTACAGACGCCTGCAGAGGGACTCAGGGTGCTGACACTCATATTCACTTAGTCACATGCAAGAGGCCCCACCATACCCTCCTCTACCCCACAGGAAAGAAAGCAGGCTCTCTGGATTCTTGAGGGGGAGGGGGTTCTGGATCTCTATTAGGTGAGCCCTCAGCAGGTGGGTATGCTTAAGTGCACCTCCAACTACAAAGTCAAGCAGCTTGAACAAGGTTGGAAAGAAGACAAACTGAAGCGCCTGGGGATCTAGCGTCTTCTGGCCTCCTGGGTTAAGGACCTGCTCTGCAGATCCCACTTCTTTCAGGCATTCCCAAATTAAGACCCACAGATGAAAAAATAGGATAAAAATCCCCAATGTAGGCTAGGGTCTTAGAGATTCATGAGCTGAACACCTGGCTCTGAGCCGAACGCTGCCCAGTCATTGTCAGGGTAAGGGCCTTGTGGCCATCTCCTGTCCTCTGTTCTGGATTTTTCTTTCCTTTCTTGCTCCTCTGGCCTCCCCTCTAACCTGGAGTTACCTTTTGCTGGGATGTGGAGGCCACTGCTATGCTCCAGTTTATGGCTACACACTCACACCTCCACCAGCAGCTCCCCCAGCCTAGTGGACTCTCAGTCAAAGCTGGCAATATCCAGGGGCCTAGACTCAGCTGCCTTTGCTCTAGGGAAACTCTAAAAAGTCCCAGCCCTCTCCAGAGAGGTGCAGCTCCAAGACTCACTCTGGAGCCTAGCAAGAGGCAGGTTGCTTAGGGCCACTTGGTAAATTATAGACTTTAAGGACAGAGTCTGCTGGAACAGGAGGTACTCAACACCATGAGCCTGCAAGGATTTGCCTATGCAGTTTGATTTATCAACCGAATGTAAATCAAGCCTGCTAGCTGGCTGTAATTACCTCTGCCCCAAGGCCAGGTGAGGCACCAATCTGCAATGATCTAGCCTCTTAAGTAGAAGCGATTGGGACCCCAGGACTTTGCTACTCTTCAGACTACAAGTCTCCCAGAAAACAACCCCATGGTTCTCAGGTGCTGCAATACAAAATACTGAATAGAGCCAAAAAGAAATCTGGGGCCAGCCTGGGCGAGGGTGATGAGAAAATGAGAAAAAGAGACTCAACTTCAAAAGAGGCCCTAGGAGTTAGGAGTTATGGTAATTCTTTGATTTTGGGTCACCTCTTCTCCTCCTCCAGACAATGGACATCAGATCCTTATCTCTGATTCCCTGGGGTCCCAAGACAGGGGACCTGCTTTTCTCCATGCTTCGCCTACCCCCTGCCCAAGGTCAAGCTAGCTTCAGCGGCAGCAGGGCTTGGGCGCCCAACTCACCGCAGCCAGCTGTGAATCAGGTTCTGAGAACCAGTCTTCTGGGGTACTAACAAGGTAGTCCCTCCCTCAGCCGCTCTCAGGAGAGGAGAAGCTGGTAGCCTATGGAGGTGCCTGCGGGGGTCTTGACTCCAAGGGTAGTCAGCCTGTCTAGTCCCTCAGTCTGATCATTTCGCTAACATTCCATTTATTTTCCTCAGCGACCCCGCCAGGTTATGTCCCACTACACTCGGACACCAGAGTTCCCTAGGTTCCTGCCTAAGACTTTCCTGGGGACGAAATTCGTTCGAAACGTGACCCTTTACAATAGGATATTTTTTTAATAAAAAAAAAAGTAGAATCCACGATCTGATATATCAGTTAAGGGAAAACGCACAACCTTATACTCGCCTATTTAGCAGGAAAGGATGGGCGAAGGCCCCGCTAGCTCCTACTGCCTTAACCCGGGCCCCACAATGACTGTGATGGTTTAAACACTGCGCTGGAACAGAACGTCTCTCTGCAGAGTAGGCTTCGGGCCTTGAGGGGTGCTGATGAAGTGTGTGGATTGGACTAAGCGTGGCAGTTACAATTCGCATTTTCTAGTTCGCGTCCTTGCGCCGCGCGGGCACGGGTTTTGCTCACGCCTCGCATTGGAGCGCCAATCCCGGCTCTGCCACCAGCCCTTTCCCGGGCATTAATGAAGTGTGCAGAGTCTATTAAAGTGGTTTATTCGGGGCTAATTGAGCGTGAGCGAGTCAACTGTTTGCATTAATGAGGACAGACCGAGCTCCAAGAGCTTATGCCTGGAGGAACTCAGCCCCAGTTCAAGAAAATCATCCTTCACTCTGAATCCCCAACAGGAGTGGTGACAGCTGTCCAGACTCCCAGTGGACTGGCTGACCAGCACAGGACACGTTCACTGCATTCTCCCAAGGCAAGGAATCAAAGGAACCCACTGACCAAGCGGGCGCTCTGCACTTAAACGCCTGCTGGGCTCTCATCTTAATGAAACCGCAATTACTTTAAGGCGCCTGGGAGAGAACATTTACCCACTGCTTGTTCCCAGCCCCCGCCAGCCCTTCTACTCCCTGCAGACTATCCTTGCACATGATCGCCTTTGCCAAGAGCCAAGACACAACTATAAACCCAGGTGAAATTTACTTGACAGCGAGGAAGAAACCCCCGCAGCCGCTTTGCGCTCGGAGAGGGCACTTCCTTTCTGTTTCAGCACCTGAGAATGAACTGGACATAGGTTTTCATTTTCACCAGATACTTGTGACCGGGAGTAATGAATAGATTAGGGAGAGGTCAGTTCTATAGACAACATCTCACCTCTTCCTCCTCTTTTCCCTGGGTTCCAGCCTTCCCTCCAAAAAGCCAGGTTGCGGGAGCAAAGAAATCCTTCTCTTTCAAGACTCAGCCTGGAGACAAACAGGGCTCCCAGAGGTTTGCACTACTGTGAAAGGCCGGTCTCGAATGGGGGAACAGTACTCTTTTCCCCTAAATGCCTCACTCAAGAATTACACTTTAGTCCTTGAGAATACAGCCCACCCCAATTGTCCTGTGGAGAAACACCTTGGAGTCAGGGCGCGTGTGTAGACTGTAGGCCCGCGTGCCAGCGCTCCTGGGACGAGTTAATGCTTATACCTGAGCATCCATCACCTAGAGATAAACTCACATGCAAGCGCTGTGAGGTTGAAGCATGCACCTGTCCTAGGCGGACATTCCTTCGCCATTCACTTGCCCTTTTTCTTTATGGAAAGCAAGTCAACCTCAACTGTGTGCGTTTTAGAAAAGTTTGAGACCTCTTTAGTTGCTCAAAATTCTTAAAGGGGACCCACAGGCTGACTTCTGATGTCTGCAGGCACCTGACCCAAAGCTTCATGGACCCGGGTCTGGGTTCAGGCAATAGAGGAGGTTCGTACCCACATTTCCCGGAGGTCTGAGGCTAGGAGCCCACCACACGTGATGCCTCTGAGCCAGCACTCGCAGGCACCCTGTCCTGCGGCTGCTAGCACTTCTCTGATGGTTCTGCAGCCTTCAGTGGCCACAAGGACCTTCCTTCTGACACTGAAAGAGAGGCGGCGCCCGCTTCGCAGGGATCCGAGAGTCCTGCCTGCTCTGTCGCCGCGGAACCCGATCTTGCAGAAATAAAGTTACCTTGTTCGTCGGAGGTCTTCCTAGAGTTGAGCTTTTCTGACGTTCCAATTGTGGACTCCAGGGAAATCAGAAACTCTGGAGCACGGAGTCACCCCGGAGCTCGAGGATCCCGGCCCCTCTCTGACCACGGGGACTCGGAGCGCTCTGTGGACGGGAGCGCTCCGAAGGACAGCCGCTCAGTGGCGGGAGTCCTGCCCGCCAGGGATGGTGAGCCTCGCGCGCGGCTCCCTCGCCGGGTCTGAACCGGGAGCGGCTTAGACCAAGCTGAGGAGAGGCCGAGCTCCGACTCACTCATCCCTAAGCACCGAGCCGCCTACTTATTTTAATCCACCACCCTCCCGCCTCCACTCCCCCCCGCCCCCCCCACACACACACCGCCTCGCCCGCCCCTTGCCTCGGGATTCCTCCCCCTCGCTCCCTTTCACCCCCTCCAACATCCCCTGCGCCTGCGCACTCGAAGACAAAGTTTTGCTGACCCGGGGAGCTGATTTTGAGTGCTTAGCTCTTGAGGTCCGGGTTTTCCGGACCTTGCTCCACTTTTCTTCAATCCGCTAGTTCCCTTTCCGTATTAAAGCTCCCGGCTTTCAGGAAGAAGCGACTTCTAGCAGTAGAGACAGTACTGAGAGCGCGAGATTCGATGTCCTGTATCTGTGCGCCTAGAACGCAGCCCAGGCGACAAGGGCAGCTCCTACCCCGTGGTCCCC